GAAAAGTACCAAACTAGGATGCGCACAGTTATCCGCTACGCACAATTCCCCCACTTTCCCCTACAATTTTTAATTTTTTAATAGTTATTTTAATAGTAACATATCTGCTCTATATATAACTGATTAGCAAGATGTTTGTGCAAAAGATGTTAGTCGCTGACAAAAAAAATATTACTATCGTAGTTATGAGACACTAAATAAGACATCTTATTCTACGTCCGAAAAAATAATAACTATAAACATTTATATGATAAGTTACTTAAAATTCTTCCTTAAAAGCAATGTTTGCATATATCGTGCAGGCATATTTTTCCGTTGCGAAATTGTTTTGAGATTCTAGGAAAATCATTTTAATGTGGGTCACGATACATAGAATGTAAAAATTTATGCTTTTATAAAATGTGTGAATAGAAATTAAGACATTCCAACTTTATCATTTATATCTTCTTGTATTTTAAATTCAGAACTAATTGTTTATACAAATATCTATATAAATATCTATATAAATGGATTCGATAAGAAAATTTTGATGAGAATGAGCTCGGAGATAGGTACATGATCGAGATCACGAGAACGTTCAGTGATCTTCGCGTAATAAATATTTACAAATACAGATGAAAAGAAACTTGAATATTAAATCTCAATATAAATACTTACTACGATATGATCATTGAATCTCCTCGTGATTTCGATATAATCACGTGCCTATTTCAAAACTATCCATGTGGACTTAATATGTCGAATAAGCATCAATTTTTTATGTATGCGCAGGTAGTCACGGATCCAAAATTAGCTATGCAAAAAGCAAAAGCGTTATGGGCCTCATTGAGTCATCCTGAGCCTGAAAATCAGGCGCGTCCACAAACGCTCGAACAGCTCCTCGTGCTTTTGACGCGCGAATCCACACGGCGCATAGTGCATCTAGTGAATGGTACGGTGGCATTGGCAGCGAGAACTCCGAGGCGTTTAAATCATCTACTTGTCCAGCTTTCTCATCAATTACTTGACGTCGCAAACGCTTCATTGCAGGTTACATCAACTTCACTGATCCGGTTTGATTTGTCGCATTTATGTAATTCATCAATATAAAGAGAACGATATTTTTAATGCATAATTATAGAAATTGTGAAAGGATATACTTTCTTTTAATCGCACATGTTGATCAAATTAAGAAAAATAATTTAAAGAATAAGATATACGCGTGCGCGCATGAAATAAAATATTACTTTTATAAATAAAATATAATTTTAATCAGTGCTTATTTTAAAAAAATACAATTTAACACGTGTAAATAAATGTTTTTATATTTATTTTAATAATGGTTTTATTCTATGTATATTATTTTGCAGATGATACCTGCGCTTATAGGTAAGAGCAATACGGTAAAAGAACAAATATCTATTATACGCTCTGGTATTGAAAGGCTGAATTCAACTGTAAATTTAATGTTGGTAAGTATGCACTTGTAATGTAATTATTTGAAATTGTAGATATATTATTTAAAGAAAATATAAAAAGCTTATGAAAATACTTATATTGATATAAATCCCAGTTTTCTTTTTACTATCTTAATAAATCAATTATCGGAAGATATTTTTAAATTAAGCAAACATTTTTTCATTGCAGTGTATACAATAATAATTTTCTTGCAGGAAAAATTTGCTGCATTTTTGGCTGGCCGCCCTAGCCCTCAAAAGACACCACACACGCAAAACCGCGAGCAGAACCACAACAACCACACGTCAGAGACTTCCGATCCTCCAACAAATGGTATCGAATAACAAGTTTTGCCTGAAAATTGCTACGTGCGGGTTTCTTTCCCCTTCTGGTATGGTTTTCAATTACAAGGTCAAAGACACGAGGATAGAAATCGCATCGTTGCTCATTGATTAGCATAACATCTTATTGACCGCGATTATAACATTATTTTTTAGAATTTTGTATTTGTGATACAATACGTAATACAACAACAAAATATATTTTATCAATAGCACAGTGTACTCGTGCTATACTCAATTTGTACTTCTAAGTTAGCCATTAGTCAAAACTAACATCTACGATAATTAAATGTAAGTGAAGAAATAAAGGGTCATTTTAATTGCGACATCACACAAATTTGTATTTATTTTTTCTCCTATTTATTTTTAAAGCAATAAAAATTGTATATTTAAGAAATAAAACTTATTTAAATATAATTAATTAACTGATTTTTAGATTCTTATAACAATACCTTTGAGAATTTTTGTTTATATTTCTACATTTTTATTTATCAATGTAAATATTTTTATTTCTCAATTTTGTATGATGACATAAAAAATATATGTTAAAGAAAATATTATATGTATATTGAAAATACATTTATATATTTAAAAAATATATTATTAAACATATTTCGTGCGTTATAAATCGGATAAATCTATTACTTATTAATCGTTTAAAATATTAAATTGTGGACTTTAATACTTAGATGAAAACGTGAGGCGTCTTATACTAACATCCCGTCAATACTACGCTCTCTTCAGATTTCTTTCAATAGTGAAAGTAGAGAAATCCTCAGGTTACAGAACTTCTAAATCTATCATCTTGTGTGTCTCAAGCAAGTTGCAACGTATAATTTCAACGTATTTTAGCAGATAAAATGCCGATTATTTTTTTATTAAATACTAATATTGAAAATAATGTACCAGTGTGTGTACATTAATTTTAAAAAGTATTATTTATTATTATATTTTTTACTTA